ATTACAGTGGGCACACTTACGGTAAAAAATCTTGTTCTGAGTCTCTCAGCATAAGTACAGTATGACTACTATACTACTAATATGTTAAGTCATTTACTTTATTAAAATTTAATTTGGGCCTAGCAAATAAACATTAAGAAGATATACTGTTTTGATCCCAAGCAGTTTCCCAATATTTACTAAATGAGTGGTCTAGTCTTAAAAACAATATGCCGCGATACTGCTTGTATGCTTAGTATTGATCCTAAGCGTAGGTTTCAGATTACTTACTACAGAGACAGTTCGATGCGATATTGAATTTATGTTTAGTAACGTAATCAGATCTAACATGAGGTTAATCATTATTTACAGAGCATATAGCCATCCTGTGATTATGTTTAGGCAGCAGTTGTAGCGTAAGAGTCAGGTGTACTTATCATGGAAGCTGTAAATTATCTATATTGTATCCGTGCTTAGGAATTACATACATATAATATGATCAAACGACTAATTATAAAAATTATAAATCGTTTTTACTGCACGTTTAAGTAGCTGCGATATAGTGCCACGTCATAAATACTGTGCAAGTAAAGTTGCTTTACTGTGAACACAATTCATCGTTGTAATCAAACGTCACGCAATTTATCTTATAACACAAGCAATAAGGAACAATGAAAGTATAATTTATGTATTCCTTGAATACCTACGTAAACTTTTCGATTACTATGAAGACGATTTGCGAGTGCACGAGGGTGCACGGGAGTGTGCGGGGTTGTGATGGGAGACTTCAACGCAAAGGTATACGGAATGGCGATGAGTTGAAAGTGGGGCCATTTGGATGTGGGCAGCGAAATCATCGGGGACAGCGCCTGGTAGACTTTATGGAGAGGGAGAGTCTCTATCAGATGAACTCCTTCTTAAAAAAGCGACCGGCCAGGAGTTGTTTATATTCAGTAATGTCTCTGTAATTGCTAAAGTGAAAACTGGTAGCGATCACCGAATTGTCAAGGGCATACTGAATATTAATGTCAAGCTGGAAAGGTCACGTCTGGTGAAGTCGACACTCCGTCCTTGCCGCGCTCAGATTCCGAACCCCGAAGCCTTTCAACTCCAACTTCATAATCGCTTCCAGTGCCTTACCGATTGCGAAACCGTGGACGCAATTAATAATGGGTTGGTGGAAACTGTCCGAGCAGTGGGGTCGGAATTCTCTAAGATCTCACGCCGAAACAAGCCTCAAAAGCTCGCGAACGGAACATTGAAGCTCCTGAAGCACCGAAACGAAATGCGACTACAGTCTTCAGCCGATATGTCAGAGTACGGTAACCTCAATAGGCGAATTTCAAAAGCCATGCGACGCGATTTGCGTGCATATAATACTGCTCGAATTAAGGAGGCCATCGAGAGAAACCAGGGCACAAAAGTCTTCGCCAAAAAATCGTCTATTGGGAAAAGCCAAATAACGAGGCTGAAGACCGGTAATGGTAGCATCATTTCATCGAAATCGGAGATTCTGAGAGAACTCGAGAGGTTCTACGGACAGTTGTATACCTCAACACGGCAATCCATTGTCGGTGCAGCTCGGGACCCAAGAGCTAAGCTGACACGACACTATACTGAGGATATCCCAGACATCAGCCTGTACGAGATTAGGATGGCTCACAAGCAGCTTAAAAACAACAAGGCACCAGGCGATGACGAAATCACAACAGAACTTCTGCGAGCGGTTGGGAAACCGATACTTTTAGTCCTCCAAAAGTTATTTAATTCCGTCATACTCAAAGGTAGTACGCCCGAATCATGGCAAAGAAGTGTTGTAGTTCTGTTCTTCAAAAAGGGAGATAGCACTTTGTTGAAAAACTACGGACCTATTTCACTTCTGAGTCATGTGTACAAGCTGTTCTCGAGGGTCATCACGAACCGTCTCGAACGCAGGCTCGATGACTTCCAGCCTCCCGAACAAGCCGGGTTCCGGAAAGGCTTTAGCACCATAGACCACATACACACGCTTCGTTAGATAGTACAAAAGACGGAGGAGTATAATCAGCCATTGTGTCTAGCGTTTGTGGACTATGAGAAAGCCTTCGATTCGATCGAAACCTGGGCAGTGCTGCAGTCTCTCCAGCGATGCCATGTCGACTGTAGATACGTCGACGTGCTTAGGTGTTTGTACAGAAACGCCACCATGCTCATTCGGCTCCAGGACGACTGCACAAAACCAATCCAATTGCAGAAAGGCGTGAGGCAGGGAGACGTGATTTTTCCGAAACTGTTCACGAACGCATTGGAGGACGTTTTCAAGCTCTTGAACTGGACTGGCTTTGGCATCAATATTAATGGCTAATACATAACTCACCTGCGCTTCGCTAACGATATAGTCGTTTTGGCAGAGTCGTTGGAGGACCTGAACACCATGCTGTCTGAAAATGAACATGGACAAGACGAAAATCATGTCTAATGTCCATGTTGCAACTGTACCGGTCATTGTTGGGAACGACATCCTTGAAGTTGTTGACCATTACACATACCTTGGTCAGATCATTCAGCTAGGTAGGTCAACTTCGAGAAAGAGGTCGCCCGAAGAATCCAACTCGGATGGGCGGCGTTCGGGAAGTTACACGATGTCTTCTCATCGAAAATCCCACAGTGCCTGAAGACCAGGATGTTTAACCAATGTGTGTTGCCGGTGATGACGTACATCGAGGGATTGGAACAGTTTGCCGGCTGCAGTCTTTCCGTCCGAATACAATTTAGGTGTCTTCAAGGCTAGAGTGAATAGGCTCTTAATAAACTAGTGCGCCTTACCATCAACGATTGCATCACTGCTTAACATCAGGTGGGATCGCAGTCAAGCATTGGTTTATTGCAAGTAAAAAAAAAAAAAATAGTACTGAGACGTGGTCCTTAACTTCTGGCCTTCTTGCAAAACTCAGCGTCACTCAGCGCACGATGGAGCGGGCTATGCTCGGGGTCTCTTTGCGCGACAAAATCCGAAATGTGGAAATTCGCCAAAGAACCAAAGTCACGGACATAGCTCGCAAAATCTGCAGGCTAAAGTGGCAATGGGCAGGCCACGTCGCTCGAAAGACGGACGGTTGATGGGCCCAAAAAGTCCTAGAGTGGCGACCAAGGACCGGAAAACGTAGTGTGGGCAGGCCTCCCACTAGTTGATTATTTTTAAATACATTTTTTCACTAATTGTTTTATTATCACCAGCCTGATATAATAAAACTTTTGAACCATATTATATTTAAACATAAATTCGTATGGTTACTTAGCATAAATACAGTAAATAACACACTTACTGTGTTTATGCTAAGTGTTCCTTTTAGATAGCCTCTAAGAAATACTTAGTATAACAACAATGATTAATTTATTTGGTCTTTCAATAACTCAGTAATCGTGTCTAAATAAGTAATAGATAGAGGCTGAGCTCCTCTTTCATTTAAGGTATCAACCATCATGATCTGATTACAAACAAAGGATTTATGGAAGATTTTCGAGCCAAAACTTTAACCGCGTTTTTCTCAAAAGTGTCTAGAGCGTACTTACTGCAACTATGCTATTGACGGCAGAATAAATCCATTATTTCTTCTTTTTGTTTTTTTTTATCTGATAGAGCGGCAAACGAGCATGCGGATAACCTGATGGTAAGCAATCGACGCCACCCAAGGAAACCGCAACACCAGCGGAGTTACGAGTGCGTTGTCGGCCTTTTGGGGATTAGGGTATCAGAAATTTCGGAATTAGGGTTTGAAGAGGGGACTGCTTGGGCCTGCGATAACCACACGGCGAAACAGGACGCTACAGTTCACGTCGATTTCCTCTCAGGCTATCGTATAACACCGGCCAAGCCGACTAAATCAAAGCCTGGTTCTCCCACACTTAAAAAAATAATATGCTTTAAAAACAAAAGTGAAAAAGTTTTGTCACGGCATTTATATTGACTGTGTTTGCGTAACTTGAGCTGACTGGACTTCGCCCCCAAAGCTCTCAATAAATCTAACTTTAAAATAAAGTTACTCGAAAAATGAAAAAAAAAACAAGAGTCTGTGTACAGAATAATATTTATATTTTGGAATTGTGTGCGTTTCAATACATGACGAAAAGACAATGGTTCCAAAAATGCCTTATTTCTGACGAATCTCTTTTGTGTATTCCTCATTCATTCATTCGTTCGTTCACGCTCTGTGATTATCTGCGGGAAACCGCCCTTTTCCATTCATTCATAATACCTTAATATGTTATGGTTATAATGAGTGGGCACCCCGTAACACATGTGCGATGGCTGCCTTTATGTATTGTTTATTAATTGAAGATTGGTGATTGGGGATTGGGAATAGAAGAGAATTGACCAGGGCGAAAATTGGGCCTCCAGTAGTTTAGTCATACGGCGACACGAAACGCAAGCGTTGTTTCACTCCATACCACTTTGAGGCTGGCAGGCAAGCAAGGTAGGGTATGTTAAAATAGAATAACAGGACAGTTTAAGGTGTAAGGTAGTCGTGATGGCCTGGAGATCCCGTCCGCTATTCATACATGGGGGTCCGAAACCTGGCAAGTACCAATGTGACTTTTTCCGAGTCATATGTACTTTCTATGATTATTTGTACACCACTCACATACGGTGACGGAAAATTACAAGTTTGAAATCGCTAATCCACCTTGAACAAAGGGTCAAACCTTCTCCATGTGAGAATAGGCCTTTGCTCAGCAGTGGGCACTTATAGACTGACGATGTGTAGAGTAGACTAGAGTCTATTATAGCAGATAAAGGATAAAGTAGGATACAGCGTGAGTCAAGCTGGGGTAAAAGTTAGTTTAGTATTATGCAAATAAACATCAGTGCATAATTAACTAATTGTGTTTTGTTTTTATAATAACTATCGTGAGACATACTAAATTAACTAAAATTCGCGGGTTACTCACGTGTAAATGATGAGAAAAGCTCTACTAGTTTCGAACCACAGAGGGGTTCTTCCTCATGAGCAGCGTGCGCGGACGCGGCGACGTCGCGCAGCCTACTGGTTAGCGTTGGCGCCTGCATCGCTGTTGATGGTTGCGCTGCGGCGAGTCCAACGCGCCATCTGCCGGATACCACGCGCGTTTGCTGCCATCTCCGGCGGCGGCGCGTGTGACGATGTTGAGGCGCACGGTACGTTCACCAGTGGCGCGGGTAGTGGGTTCGATTCCGGGCCCGGCACAAAGTCTGTGTTACATATGACGCTTACTGTGTCACACTCCAGACTGGATACGCTTCGGACCGACGTAGTCTCCAAGCTCGGCTTCCACGCGGGTGGCAATGCCCAGCCACCATCCCTGTTGAAGCACGGACGTCGGCTAATCTCGATGGCCTCTCGCACTTTTCGCGGAACGAAGTATTTCTCCCTCGCTAGTACGGAGACCTTATCAAAACGTATGAAGTGAGCCGCATCCGTGCCGCAAACATGTTCAGCCACAGCCGATGCCTGGATGTCCATCTTCTTCACGCTACGTATATGTTCCTTTAGCCTGGTTGTGATGTAAAACGCGCGTGGTATCCGGCAGATGGCGCGTTGGACTCGCCGCAGCGCAACCATCAACAGCGATGCAGGCGCCAACGCTAACCAGTAGGCTGCGCGACGTCGCCGCGTCCGCGCACGCTGCTCATGAGGAAGAACCCCTCTGTGGTTCGAAACTAGTAGAGCTTTTCTCATCATTTACACGTGAGTAACCCGCGAATTTTAGTTAATTTAATTGTGTTTTGTTTTAATTATATTGATCTTATAAGAAGCGTGCTAGATCTTATTGTCATCGTCGTATGTTTCCAGCACAAAGGATATTTTCTAGGAGCGCCTTCAGGTGTATCCGTGACCGCATTGCCAACGTGTGCTCATATGTTGCCCATTCTCTTTCGGTACGTGAGTAAAATAAACTTTTACACAAGTTTTACTTAAGGATTCCTTCGCTGCCTCTGTCGTGGTTAACAAAACGAATAGATTGGTAACGGATTTGTGCCGCCAATAGATTTTTGTTTTGATATTTGCTTTTATTGAATGTGTAGAAAATTTTTTTGGTTGTTACTTACTTTTTCTATTTAAAAGGAAACTTTTCCGACACAAGGATTTTCTCCTGTGTCGTGGGTGCGTTTACAAAAATACAACTTTACATATACCTTGCACTCAAACTCGAAACAACAATCTGTGGATCACATAAAGAGTTCTTCCGTACAGAAATCAGATAATGTAAAGTAGCTTTTGCCCAACCCCTATGTCAATATTAGTCTGTTAGAAAATGCGTTAGGCCTTAACTCCGCCTATTTACCAATTGTGCATGAAGTTTAAAAAACACTATCTATGTATATTTAGCGTTAACAGTCTTTCATCACTTTGCTCCGAAGAAGCAGGAAATTGAAGAAGAATCTTTTCCTGACGATTCTTCTCATAAACGACCACACTTTACTGGCACTCAATATTTTAGCATATCTATTCGAATATTATCTCGATTCAAATCGATTCTATACTACCAATATAAATGTTTTACTACCTGCATAAAGCTGGATGTTAACCAGCCCGCAGTTACCTCGGAAAAACTTGCTCGTTGTGGGAAAACTTCTAACTTTTAACGATGCATCTGACGTGAGTCTAGCTTTGTAGACTTTTAGCCTATTTCGCAATATCGAGTTGCAAAGTTTCGATACTTTTAATATAACGTACGTTGCTTGGAATTTTCGTAATATATTTCGGCAAACAAAATTTTACTGCGCTTGTTTCATTGGTTACGTAATTTCCATTTAAAATTACTGTCATAATTATACCTTTACTATACTTCAGGGTAAAATTAACGTAAAATGACTTTTATTACTTTGATTGACCTGAGTAGTAAGACGATATCACACTTAGCAACTGATTTTGCAACTACTTTATTAATAAAGTACTGTATAAATCAGGTTGCTAAAGTCTTGGATAGCAATCTCTAAGCAGTTTATAAACTTTTGAACTGTTCTCAAATATGTACATCCATAGAGTTCATAATTGCGTAAGAAAAAGTTTTAAACTATGATTGCTTACCATTTCAGTTCAGTTCAGTCACGTACCAAAATAACTGCTCAATCAACAGGTGTCTTAATCTCTTTATTAGCCCTCAAAAGAGCTTATTGTTCAATCTTACCCTAACAAAAACATTATTGTGAAAAAAGTCGCCAAGACGATATCACAGGCACATTGTTATATCTATATACATGCTTAGAGGATGATATGCGTGGTGATAAAAGCCCAAAAAAAAAACATAAAATGGTGGACTTAATGTCTCAGTCGCAGGTGATGCCAGGTGACATAAGTGTTCAAGTTCAAGTGTGGGAGAGCCATGCTTCGGCACAATGGGCCGGCTCGACTGGAGTGATACAATGGCCTCACAGAAAAATGGCGTGAAGCAATACTGAGGTTGTATTTCACAGTGTAAGTGAGATTACCGGAAGCCCAATCCTTCTCCAGCATCATCAATCTTCAAATCCCCAATAATCCCCAAGAGGTTGGCTACGCACTTGTAGTAACTCCTCTGGTATTATGAGTGTCCATGGGCGGCGCTGATCACTTACCACCAGGTTATAGGTTTGCTTGTTTGCCGACCTATCACATTAAAAAAATAAGTATGGCTTGCACTGACAAAGATAATCAAACAATGTAAAGGTAAGTTTTCAACTTCGACGTTTGATATATATACCTGCATAAAACTTGTTTCAGATTTACTGCTGACTATCTACCATATTGTTCTTCTCTGTAGTTTTTGTAGTACCAAACCACGAAATGACCATTTATCGAGTTGCACTGATCACATATTTAGGGAATTAATTTCGTCTATAAGGTACACGCGATGTAAAGTTAAAAAAAATCGAATAGGTAATCAAATACGCAGTGCATATAAGGTGTGCTTGATTTGTCTTGGAGGAGCCGTCCCATGCTCCCAAATACTTATTTTCTATTTTCCCTGACGTCACATGACGTTCAAATTCAAAACCAGTTTCTTAATAAAGGAAGGAAGTTAAACCCTTTTCATAGTGATAAAAGTCTTTGGGATAAAGATAATTCGGATCCATTGTTTTGGGTTATTCTGAACGAGGTTATGTGAAGTTTGTTTTTATTAAGGTTCGAGATGTAATCGGTTTAATTTTATAGAGTTATTTAAGAATAGCCCAAAAGATTGGAAGAAGGACATTTTAACAGAATTAAGTTTGTAAAAAACAAAGTTCTACGAGGATCAGATTGAGTTTTTTTTTTAAATACCCATTGATTATTTAGAGATAAGTACATAGCGTTGAGTTAAAAGTGTTCCTCGAGTTAAAACATTTTGAAACCAAAATATCTGTATCGGAATCAAAAACAATTATTTAATAACAGAATCAATCTCAACAAAACCACCAATTTCATTAAATCACACAGCAATTGTATTTATCCAATGGATAAATTTTACCAACAACATTAATTTAAATTCAGTGATTATATCGCGGTAGTTATTTAAAATTTATTTAGTCTATCTCGAACCTTTTTGGGCCCTCGACAAGAGTCGCGGTCAAGGGTAGACCGAATGAATAATGTTTGAATAAATACTACATGGTTATAAAGCCTCCTTGTATTCGTTCCTAGTTTATGTTCTACCTTATCTATGAATTTCCCTTTTATCTCTTTTTATGTTTTTGGTGTTCCACATTTGAATGTGTCATATTTTTTAAGTGAGGATGAAATAAATATAATAATATTTGGATAAAACATTTGCCTGTCTATTAAGGGTAGAAGAAATAGTTTGAATAAAGTATTTTTAAATGCCTTATTTACGGAACTAAGAATATGCCACATAATTAATTAGGACTAAGGAAAAGTGGGCACGTTCAATGTAATAACATCAACGTGATAAAAAGGTTTCTTTCGTCTTTCTTTGAGACACTATAAGAATATTCTTAAAAGTGTAGTGAACAGATCAACACATACCACATAGCACTTTTTTATTGAAAGTGTAAAAATATGAAACGATATCTCCTATCCGGGGCTGGACAAGTTGGAGTGCCAAATCTTATTGACTAAAAACCACCCCATTCTTTCTTCTTCAAGCCAGTGTTGAATATAAAATAATAATAAAAAATTCTTCAAACCGTCTACTTAACAAAATATTAAAACATTTTTTTAACGTTTATCATTGTTAAACAGAAGTAAGTATCATCAATCCACGTAGAAATGTTTCCATTATATTTGAACCTAAAATGTAAAATAAAAGAAATTCTTTTGTTCTAATATTAAAGTCTGCCCACAACTACCATTTATCTGTACTTCCTAAGGTTATGAATAAATGGTATTCGTTTTATCTCGCCAGCCAGCCTTTTTCGCGATATTGAGTATCACGATCCGTCAAAGCTTACAAGGGCTTAGTACCGCAGCAATTAGTTGTCTTTGTAATTCACGTCATAACCAAGTTCAGGGTCGGTATATCGATAACATAATCCCTACGATTGAAGAGTGATTTATTAGAAATATTGTACTTACTCGTAGTTTTACTCACGCAATATTGTTTGTATTTTGTGAGAGGTCTTATTTCTTATAGCTATATTTTTTCATTACTTTGAGACCAATTTTGTATCTAATACTTATAAATAATCCTCTCTAAGAAATTATACATAGTGGATGTAATAAATATTTTCAAATAACTTTCAGATAATTGAGAATAATCTACTAGTCAGAGTAACCTCCATATATCAAACTAGCTACTGCCGCACGGTTTCAGGCGCTGCTTGGCTCCTTTTGGTCGTAGGGTGATGTTTTATAGCTTATAGCACTCAAAAACCTTGTAGCTATCTATCAGTTCAAGAATTTCGGAAATCCGACCAGCGGTTCCAAAGATTACCTCCAACATATACTTATAAATTTTACCTATTTACAACATAAGTATTGATAAATAACGAAACCAAACAGACTTCGATATCATTTATCGTTAAAAAAAGAAACATTTCTGCATCAACGGTCATCAGTCTCGTCTCAGTAATAGCAGATTTTTTTGCCGATTATCTTATTTCGGGCAATTTCCTTAAGTGGCAGCCATCTCTAATCTTTGCGTTCGTATTTTCTCGCCTGGCCTTCTCAAAATGGTATCGTCTGCTCTGAATGGATTAGTACCATCGTCCATTAATTAACAATGTTCGCCTTTCATTGTTTTGCGTTTATCAAAATACATGGTTCTGTTTTTAATTGAGTTTTTATTTCTATTTTTGAAGAGAATTGATTTCTGGAGGATTTATTTATTGACGCTTAAGTGCTGTTAGGTTTGTTTGGATTTGTGATTGGAAAAAATAATGTTTTGTTTTGGTATATTTTTGTTTAGAATTTGTGTGTTTATTAAAAACGTAAAAAAAATCTACTTATTCAGTTTTAAACTTATGTTTTCGATATTCAGAAAAAATAAATGTTTATGTACAAAAAATATTAAGAATAACCATGTCTCTAGGCTATGTACATAATAATAATATTTAGAGAACATGTCTTGACAAATTGAATATCTATTCGGTTTTTTATTATTTTGAACTTTGTTAAAAATACTAAATATTGTCGAGAAGAATAGTTTGTTTTAATACTGAATGCACAATACACATACGGTCTAGAAAAACGGTGCAATATTTTTATATTCAGAGTATTTTTACGCAGGTTGGTTATTGGGTTGGGTATTAACAATGTAA